TTGAAATCGCATCATATGACCCCTTTAATATCCTTTCTTTAACATTTGAAAGGATACTATGGCAAAGTTATTGCTTTCTTTATTCAAACTTATTTTTTTTGCCATGAATATATGGTTGACCTGAAGAATGAAAGCTGTATCATACACTTGGAAAATTATGAGCTATATCACTGCTTATCGACTCTAGGGGTGTGACAATACACTTAGCTCACGAGATGAGACAAAATACCGATACTTGGTTCACTAGAACGTGACAATATTTTAATACTATTTTTAAGAAATTTTCAATGACAAAATATTTGTCTTTTAATTACAAAAAGTAAAACAATGCAGTTGTATTTAGAAATATTTTAACTAATTTAGGCCTGTAACTACTGATTATTTTGATAACTGAGTAATCTGATTTTTTTTTTTGTAACAAACAGACCTAAGTGAAAAACAGGCTTTAGTATGACTATTTAGGATATATATAAACTAACGATGAGGCAATAATAATTGGCTCAAATATAAAATATCAAAACCAAGAAATTACATGATTGCATTGAACAACACTGTTAAAATACATAATGTAATATGCCTATACATAATATGAACATAACCAACTTAAACACATTATGTATTAAAACAAATACCTGCAGAGGGTGCCAACAGCCTGGTGACGTTTCACTTTACAGCATTATTAAACAATGTTTAAATCCATTTAATTTTAATATTTGGCCACATGCAAAGTCAGAAACCTTTATTTTGAAATCGCGATGTACAGTACATCGCATATTTAGAAATATGTTGATGATGAACGTTAAGCAACCCAAACTCACCGCATATGCAGAGGAAGAGTTTAGCCCCTTTTACACATACAGTCTTTACCGGTAAATGACCGTTAAGAGATCATGTGTGAACAGGACCTTTTCAAAAATACAGGTAAATGCGAAAAAAATGTTTAGGAGTTCTTTTTGTTTTTTTGGAGTTCATGAATTTTTAAAAATGTTAAAACATTTGGTGTTTTAATTTCATGTGCATATGGATTAAAAAAATTATATGAATTAATTGTAAAAAAATGTTTTACTAAACCTTGAAGTTCTTTGGAGTTCATGAAGTTTTAAAAATGTTAAAACATTTATAGTTTTTTCAACTACAGAGGCAAACCATAAAAATGAAAGAAATTGTTTTGAATGCTGTTTATAAATGGAATTTTATTGTTTTAGTTTTGTATGATCTCTTGAATTTTTGGTTGAGGTAAAGTGTAATTACAAAGTGTAATGTGCTGAAAAATATTAATGAAAAAAAATTAAGCTAATACAATGTTGACCTGTTTGTTTAACATGTGGTATATTTAATTTGAACAGATGATTTTAAAAGGAATAAAAATTACCTTTGAAAATATAACCCATTTATGAAATCAAATTAGTGGTATATTTAATTTGAACAGATGATTTTAAAAGGAATAAAAATTACCTTTGAAAATATAACCCATTTCTGAAATCAAATTAACCCATTATTTTTGTAAAAAATAAATCATTTTTGGGTAGAAAAAAACAACCCATTTGATGGGTTAAAATTAATAACCCAACATCTTGGGTTAGTTTAACCCCATATGGGTTCTGTCCTATATTTACCCAGCAGTTGGGTTAAAAACAACCCAATTTGGGTTGTTTTTAAGCCAGTGTTTTGTTAGAGTGCAGTTAGACTTTATTTTCATTGAAAAACTCTTAGCAGCTATAACAGTTTTACACTCTTGGCATTCAGAAAGTTAGTTTCTCCAAATAGTCAGCTGAAATACTCTGCCATGCCTCTAGCCAAAGCTACGTTGGATATTTGTTTCTGACCTTGTGATACAGTTCATCCCAAAGCAGTTCAACAGCAGTTAGGTCGGGTGAATGGGCAGACCATTCCACAATAGATAACTCATAACATTTTATATAATGCTAAAGCACTTCACACATGAAAGGGGGAATCTTCTCAGCCACCACATGATACCAGATCTCTTACACACAGCACTCCTACACACAGCCCTACTCTTTTTCGAAGGACATCCTGGGATATTTTATGACCACAGAGAGTCAGGGCCCGGTTGCATGAAAACCCTTAAGTAAGGGTATCCCTGAAGGGTGTTGCAACAAACGTCTTAACCGTCACCCTTACCTAAGTGTTTATACTAAGCATTTCACTGTAGTTTCTGCCAGCGCACGGCAATGCGAGCTGCGGTTGCCATAGTTACTCTTCCACCTCACACTATAAATATAACGGACTGCAAACCTAACCTTATGAGTTATGGAGAGTAATAACATTACAGAAAGCAAAAAACGTAAACCCAACTGGCCTGAGGATGAAAAGGCCATTCTTTTAGAAGAATACACTAAAAGAAAAAACACCCTGCAAAGTCGATATAACCCATCTGTCACTCATTTACACAAGACAAAAGCCTGGCAGGAGATAACGGACAAAATCAATTCAAGAAACCTTGCTGTCAAGCGCACAGTAGAAGAAGTCATGAAAAAGTATGAAAACGTAGTTGTGAGGTCAAGAAAAGAAATAAACAACTATAAAAAAGAATCTGGAAAAACCGGTGAGTTACGAGTTACATTTAAATTGATATGTGACTGGATATATTGTGTCAAAAAGTAGCGCACTTGGTGTAATATAGTTTAACAAATGTTGCTGTATAAAGGAGGAGGGCCGCCGCCACAGGACCTGTCCGAGACAGTGAAATTGGTACAAGACATACTAGGGAAGGATTCTCCAACTCTAGTCGGTATTGCTGGCGTTCCTCAAAGCAGTTTGGGAAGCAGGTAAAATAACACAGATGACGCTAATGCATTTTGTTAAATGTCTTTTGCTTTCAAAGATGGTCTATTTTGTAGTATACAGAGTTGGGTAGGTGCTATAATAATAATAATAATAATATATTTTCTTTTTTCAGCCTGAAAATCCTGGAAAATTTTCAACTGGGAAAATGTTCCAGGAGCGACAAGCCCCACAACTAGCCATCCAGCACGTCCTGATTCTGCCGAGTTAGACGCGTTCCTGGGTCAACAAGGGAGGTGCTTAAGGTAAAATTGATCAACCAATCAGATTACTCACGTGACATCTGCCAGCTTGAACGCCACTTTTTGAGTTGTGCCCTTTGACCTCTCCTTCATTTCACAGAGGTAAGTGCATTTTATTTAAAATGTGCCATTTCAAATGTGCCCATCCCTGCTCAGCATAATGTATTATTTTCAATTGCACGATGGATTCATAACTAACGCGAACATTAGCTAAACTGCTCATATAAGGTGCAAATCACCTAACCCCTCTCCTATCGGACAGGAAGGCGCCCACGATCGTTTCGCCCCGACCCGGCGTGGTGTTTCCCCCGTGATCGCGTCGTCGGATCTTTTCGTCCGATGATTTATATCACTTTTTTCATGTATTCGTTTAGCAGACGCTTATACTAATCTTTTAAAAGAGAAGCTAAACACTTTCGCGGATGGATTGGGACCAATAATGCGGGGTTTGCCGTCCATCAACAACAAGGAAATATATTGTGTTGACCCAGAGACATCATTAGCTCATCCAATATATGACACACATTAATCAATCACTGTATTGAAATAATAATAATAATAATAATATATCTTATGTTGACACATTCATGAAAGCTCATATAACACAAGACAACAATATATCACTGTATTTAAATTATAATAATAATACAATATCTAATTTAAAACAAACAGTAATCTATCACTATATTGTAATTATAATAGAATGATAATGAAATATCTTGTGTTGATCCAGGGACATCATATTCTTATGTTGACCCTGGGACTTCATTCCTTATAGCTCATCGGCTTAGGACGAGTTCGAAAAAGTAGGTTTTACGAAAAATTAAAAATAGCAAAAAAACTAAACCTTACGATTTTTGAATTTTGGTGTCCATTCGACTCGGCATGAGCCAAGGAATCAGAGGAAAATATTTTCCTTCTGTGCCTTACAATTCTTGCTATGGTTAATGTTGGGACTGTCCTCTATCAGTGTGCCAAATTTCACAACTTTCCCGCAAGCGGTTCTATGGGCTGCCATAGACTTGCGGCGGAAGAAAAAAAAGAACGCTAACGATTACAATAGGTGCCTCTGCACCTTCGGTGCTTGGCCCGTAATAATGAAATATCTTGTGCTGAGCCAGGGTGTTATGAATGAAATTCAAATATTGTGTAGAGCATTTGCAGTCTAATGTTGGCCTGGGAACATCATGAAGTTGTATTAATAATAATGGTGGTTACACTATCTTAAGAATATAATAATTGGTGATAGTTTTTATTATAAATTGTTACTAAGAGCTTCATCCTTAGGCAACAACCCTAGTGTTAATAAATGTTTTTCTCCCCAGAATGTAAAGAGAAATGGAGGATTGTATTAAGAAAACAGTGTTGCGTGAAGAAAGACAAAGAGGAAAAAACAAAAATATTACAGTTGATGTGCATGTCCTGAAGAAAGAAGCAAATCATGAAACATTCATTCAAGAAAAACTTAAAACTTTAACAAACTTTAGAAACACAAATTCTGCAAGTCAAAAAGACAAGGATAATGGATACTACATTTTCTACTGTATCCGGTCAGGGAACCCCGTTGATGGAAGTTACAAGACCTCAGGGTGTATGGCTTACACATCATTTAAGGTTAAAAATGATTGGCTGAGCCACAAAGTCATTGTACAACGCACCAGCAAAGAGCACAATGGGCACAATGCAACTTTTGAACAAGAAGGACACTTTCAAACAGTGTGTCCAGATTTGGTCAAACAAATTGAAGAATGGATTTCATTAGGTGTCAAGCCAGATATCATTCTACTGGAAGCCCACAAATGGTCCAGATCTCGCGGACACACTGACTTGAACAACCGTCAGTTCTTTGTCACTCCAAAGGACATTGAGAATATACGCACATGCTTGGTACGCCGAAGCCATTTGGATGAAGATGATGCTGTTAGTTCAGCCAAATTATTGACCAGTCACCTCAAGGACTGTTGTTTTTTTTCAGCCTTTATCCCATGAGAAGGAACTCATAATTATCCTTCAGACTCCCAACATGAGAGAGAATCTACACAGACATGGAAAGAATGTTATATTTTTGGATGCCACTCATTGCGTCAACCAGTATAATTTTCCACTTTATACCCTGGCTATAAGAGATGACTATGGCCATGGAGTTCCAGTCGCTTTCATAGTAACAAGCAATGAGAAAGAGGCAACAGTAGAGATAGCTTTACAGCAATTAAGGAGAGTGTGTCCTGCTGCACCAAGGTATGTATATTCTGGCCCCAGATACCAGAGACTGTTTTCTATGTGAATATCTGTTAAACTGTAATTTATTCATGTGATCAAAGCTGAATTTTCAGCATCATTACTCCAGTCTTCAGTGTCACATGATCGCTGCAGAAAGCAACTTACTTTGCAATGTCTGCCTCAGCACTGGGAACACTTGCAATCATGCCTAGGTTTACATGTCTCCCTAGCGTGGCTCCCAGCTCCTGGGCTAAATCTGTGGCCTCCCCTTCACTGAGAACAGAGAAGATGCTTATTTTTGTCTTGGCTTTTATCGGCCGTTGTTCTCTAAGCTCCTGAGGGAGATCCTCTTTACGCACCTTTGGGTAAACCAATATGTTACTGTTTTATAAATGTTTTGTTCTGTAAAAGTATAGCAAATTGCTATAAGGTTTAGAGTATATACAAACCCTAATCAGGCTTCTTAACATGTTGTTTGACATGTTTTCTGCCATGATTCTTCTCTTCAGTTCATCTTGAGTGACTGTGTACTTTCTTTTGGTGCCTGGCACTGACAGCCTTCCCAGAACTGTATAGTTTCTTCCCTGAGCTGTTTTGTCCTCTTCTCTTTCCTTAGGTATGTCTTCTTCCTCTCTACCTTCTATTTTTCTTTTCTTGGCTATGTTTTCCTCTTGCCCTCTCTCGTCAACCATTTGCTCTTCACTTTCTCTTTCTTCTGCTTTGTTTTCCTCTGCTTTACTTCCCTGTGCTGCATAATCAAAACTCATAGTCAATCACCAGTATTACAAGATTAATGTAGCACAAGTTAAATACGTATCATCTGCCATATCAAAACATCAGAAAGTTACGCTTGTGCACCCTATGCTGTATTTAAAATAACTTCCTAAAATTGAAGAAAATAGTAGCACACGATTTTAGATATTTTAACTGAATACATTTCATAAGGATTCTGTAATGTTCATAAAAAAAATTAAAATAAATACACCTTCTAAACTACTTTGCATTTTGTCCCTGATCTGTGCACGCCTTGAAAATGCATCGGCCAGTGTAAACCAGGACGTACAGTCAAGCTCATTGATTAGTTCTTTGGGAGGATCCTAGAGGAAGGAATTGAAACATAAATTATTTGTTTTCTTTTAGTGACATGCACAGTGCCATGATTTTACTTTTTACTTTCAGAACTTACCTTCAGCAAATTCTCTGCATAGAGTAATACAAATATGCCACACTCGGAGGTGTTTCCTTGCTGTTCAGGTACCCTCAATTTCAGGGCTGGCATAGAATCTGCAGAAAATATCCGTGGTGTTTTTCTTGTGTTTTTCCACATTTCTGTTAAGTAACTGAAAGAGAAAAAAATTATCATTATTATTTAAATATAATGATTGATCAGTATTTGTCTTATATTAGATGAGCTATAAGGAATGAAGTCAACACAAGATATTTCATTATATTTTTATTATTATTACAATATAGTGATAGATTACAGTTTGTCTTATATTAGATATAGTATTATTATTATTTCTGTTTGTCTTATATTAGATAAACTATAAGGAATGAAGTCCCTGGGTCAACATAAGATATTTCATTATCATTATATTATTATTATTATTATTTAAATACAGTGATTAATTACTGCTTGTCTTATATTAGATGAGCTATAAGGAGTGAAGTCCCTGGGTCAGCATAAGAATATGAAGTCCCTGGATCAACACAAGATATTTCATTATCATTCTATTATTATTATTATTATAATTACAATATAGTGATAGATTACTGTTTGTTTTAAATTAGATATTGTATTATTATTATAATTGAAATACAGTGATATATTGTTGTCTTGTGTTATATGAGCTTATATGAGTTATATGAGCTAACTCGGCAGAATCAGGACGTGCAGCCATCCAGCCACGAGGTTAGCGACAGCTATAGGTTATTAGTGACATCTGTGTTGCATTCGGTAACAAATAAAAGAGTAAAAAACAATGTTTCATAATTCGTTGATATTAGGTTACAGAAAAAGTTATTTTTTTCAGACATTCATCTGAGGAGAAAGGATTGGGAAGAGTTACATCAGGGCTTGCTGAACTTCAACGAGAAGTTCTTTCTGCTGCAGAAGAGGAAAGCAGAGTTGGAGATTTCTAAATTGGAAATGGAAAAGGAAAACTTGAATATGCAGAACCTAATACTCCAACACAAAATTAACAAACGCGCTCAAGAGGGATCAATAGCTTTACAGCCAATAAGTGAACCATAACACAAATCTTAATCTTTTAGGATATTTATTCAAATGTTTCGTAATATACAGAAATACATACATACTAGCCTACATAAATATTACTTTTCCCTATATTATAATCCAGTGTGAATTGCTTATTGTAAATGTTTCAGTGTCTGTTTTTAATCTATAAATAAAAATGTTGTTTCATATTTTGAAGTCTGTTTACATTTACTTCGTTTTATTATTAACTTATTAATTTATACAGCATCTAATCTGGAAAGTTATATACAGTTTATTGTAGAACATATTCAGCCCACTTTAGGAAAAAAATGTTCGCACAAGCATGTCTCAGGTAGTGTGTCCCTCCGTTGTTGCATCCTCCGCATCTTGATTTGGCTGCACTGCTTCTTCAGGGTCAGCATGTTCATCCATGAGCACACCAAAGTCTTTTGATATGTAAAACTGGACGACACAAGCAATGATGACTCTCCCTGCTTTCACTGGCTCCAGACATAGCTCTCTGTGAAATCTCCTTTTAAGCTGGCCAATCGTGCTTTCAGTGATTACTCTAGTTTTTGTTAGAGCAGTGTTGTATCGTTCCTGCAATGTGACAAACGAAAGATGATACACTAAAAATGATGGCCAATATGTTACATTACTTTAACTCGTCCAAATAAATTAAACATTTTTTTAAGTTATACAAGTTATACAAAATTTCACTAATTTTATTGATTTATCTAAATAGCTCAAATAGGTTATTTAAATGAATTTTACCTGTGCAGCTCCTACTGGATTTCTAAAAGGTGTCATCAGCCATGAAGGACAAGGATAGCCGCTGTCCCCCAAAAGTAACTGTGCGTTCACACCGCCGCCGTCGAGAGCGTCAAAGTGGCCGGAAGTCATTCATTTTCAATCTGAGCCAGCGGCGAGCAGCGGCGCGGCGCGACTCGGACGTTGAGGGCGTCGAGGAGAGTTGAAATCAGGTCAACTTTATGGTAATGAGCTATGGCGCGGTTCGGCGGCAACCAATCGGAACGTAGAAGTCCACCGCTTGAGAGGATTCCAGAGAACGCAGCCCTGTAAACGTTGGTTCCGACCACATTAGTTCCCAAGCAAAATGGAGGAGAGGTTGATTATTGCTGTGGCGGGTTTCCCAATAATCTACGACGTGTCCCTGTTTGCGTACAGGGACATAAATAAAAAAAATGATGCGTGGACCAAGGTGTCTGAGATTGTTGGTGTTCCTGGTGAGTTGCTGATGTGCATTAACGTTATATATTTTCTGGAAAAAAAAGCGGGAATTTTATGCTAACTTTAGCGCCAGAGCATGCATAAAAAAAGTGTTACTGCTGCAGAATATTTCTGACATATCGACACATATTGGATTAAACGAAAAATAGGTGTTGTAGAGAGCTGCTGCAAATTTGTTTCACATCTGATGGAGACCAGAGGTGTATGTCACATATTTAAAAATGAAAGCAGTAACTTCTGTCTATTTTTTATATTTTTTTCTACAAGGAAAAACAAGTGTTCTTTAACTGGTCTCTCCTGTGGTATTGTCAACAAATTGCTTAGCTGGAAAAAATAATGATAAATGTCATTAGGTTTAAATATATATACAGTCAGTGGGACATACAGTTATGCCATTTCAGACATAGCATGCAAACAAGCTATTCTGAATTGTGGGTAATGAGATGTTTATATTGAATATGTGTTTTCTATTGTCTTTTCACTAGCGGATGAGTGCAGAAAAAGGTGGAAGTCTCTTAGAGACACCTACAGAAGAGAGCGAAGGAAGGAGTCAGAGAGGAAGAGGAGTGGAGCAGGGGCGAGCAGTGTCCGGCCATGGCGCTACAGTGGAGTCATGGGCTTCCTCAACCCCTTCATAGAAGATAGAATAACTGCCAGTAATATGGTAGGGGGGGTTGGGGAAGCCCTGACCCCAGAGGAAAGAGAAGATGCCATGGCCGGGCACAATCAGGCAGCACAGACAACACACACACACACACAGTCAGCAGTGTGAGGTGAACCAGCTAGGTGAGAGCCCGAGCCTTCAGGTTCAGGAAGGACCATCAAGCCCGAGTCAGTCCAGCGTTCACGTTCAGGAAGGACCATCAAGCCGAGTCAGTCCAGCGTTCAGGGACAGACAGGGCACTCAAACAGGAGAAAGAGAGCACACAGCAGCACAGAGTTTGAGGAGAGGATGCTAACAGCCTAGCACTCCTCAGGAGGACAGTGACAGTTTATTTTTTAAAAGCCTCCTGGAGGACTTCAGGACGCTGTCATTGAGGACCAGGCAGGATTTAAAGTTCCAAATTCACAAGCTCGTGTATGAAGCAAAATGTCTGGAGGCTGGACTCACTGAACACTGGGGAGAGAGTAACGGGGGGCAGCTGACAAGTCTGTGAGGGGTGTTAGTAAGCTTATTTCCCTCGCAGTCTTGTCAGCTGCACCTTGTGCTTTCTCCATTATACATATATTTTGTGTTCAAATATATATATGTAATGTTTTTATTTCTTCAAACAGTTTATTCTAGCTTTTTAATTTTTAAAAAATGTTATTAATGTCTCTTCAAAATAAGTTAATAAATAAGTTGTAAGATAATAAATAAGTTGTAAGTTAAATTACCGTTGTAAGTTAATAAATAAGTTGAAAGTTAATAATTAAAATTTTGTTAACATTTCTGGTTATATGTGTTTTATATTATTACACATCTATCATATCCACCTTATCATATTGAAAATGTGTAGGGGACCCAGGTGAAAAAGTTCAAGTCCCTCGTGTACTTAAAGGGTTCATATGATGGTTCTAAAAAGAACACCATGAATATGAATATGAACTAAAATGTCCTTTTAACATACAAGTGGTACCTAAATACAATTGTCAACATTTCTGGTTATATGTGTTTTATATTACAAATTGATCATATTTTACCATATCATATTGAAAACGTGTAGGGGACCCAGGTGAAAAAAAAACATACTTCCATAATGTACTTAAAGTGCTCTATTTTCACACACTGATTTTGTACTTAATATACTAAAAATTATTCTTTAGTAGTTCTTAAGATAATCTTAAGAACATCTAAGTGTACTCAACTGTGCTATTATGAGACAGCATGAATATGATCTAAAATGTGCTTTTAACGTACTATCTCTATTAAAAAATATATTTAGTTACCACTTTGTATGAAAGAGATTCA